TTGTTGTGTGGTCGCTGAAAAATAGCTGCAATATATTAAAATATTCATATATCTTGCAAGTTAATAGTTTAATATATAGTATTTATAAAAGTGATATAAATGAAACAATATGAACACTTTCCCGTTTATTTAGAATGATCCAATAATATTTATCACATGTTGGTAAGAATTTGTCAAGCACGCCAAGCATCCTTTTACATTGCTAACGTCTGTAACCTACTTCCATCGGTCACATCAATGCCACCATCGATTGTTACGGATCTAGGAGTAATCGTATTTTAAGTTTTTGTGTGATCAAAGCCATTGAAACTGCGGGCGTGTGTACTCTGATATACCTAGTTTCCGTGAATGTCTCGAAAAATTATAATACGATATACTATATTTCCGTGAATCTCCAAATACTAGCTTTGTAAAGCTTTACAAGGGCTTTGTAACTTTTTGATGTTTCTTAAATAGTCAGTTAGTAAGAATATGAATCGTGAATAATGAAAGCAAACTCCAGTTTGTAGTGCCTATTGATTATATTAATCAGTAAACAAAGTAACGAAGAGTAGTTAACAGATCATTTCACAATTCAGTTTGAAACTGTATACATAATCATACGTGTTTAAGATATTAGTTGACTTTGATATTTGTATTATCATCGGGTCATCGGTGAACAACAAAAATAATTTACATAGAGCACTGAGCTACTAAATGTCAAAATATTTTTTAACAACCGCGGATGTTAGCAGAATAGTTGATACGAGATAATTTTACAGACGACCAGTTTTACAAATTACCTATTATTAAATAAACTGAAAAATTAAGTCATGAATCATGATTCATTTAATTCAATTTATTACTCCTAGATCCGACTTCACAAATATTTTACATATGTGTTTATACATACATTACCACAAAATATGTGCAATCGATACAAATTCTCATTGCCCACAATTGCTGGCATTTAGCCAGCAATTGTGGGCAATGAGCACTGCATACTAACCTACAGTATTCTTGAATAGGTATAGACAACAAAAAAAAGTATTAGAATACATTTTAACTATATTCAACATTACGACAATGTGATTTATGTATATATTTTTTACGTATGGTAGACATATATATGTAACTAATACCGAATCTTCCAACTGAACTATGAACATTTTTTCTAAGTACATCATTATAACAAAAAGTAATTTTAGTTGTGTGTCGGTTGGTTTAAATAGAATAAATTAGTTACCTTTAAACGTCGCCACACATATGCCCGACCAGCTAAATAATATAGCAGTCTTAATATAAATGTAACATAATGGTACCGATACATCATACGAGTATTAAACATGGTTTTGATTACATTACGCTATTATAATATAGTTGCAGATAATCTAATATGATAATAATTATTCTTATAAAAATAGAGACAATAATACGGGATCGTATATAGTATTATGCATAAGTATCGTAAAACATGTAAAGAAAAAAAGAGATCAGAATTAGAATGCGGCGTTGCTTTTTACTTCTACCGTGAAAAAAATAGTATTTTGCTTCCCATAAAAATAAAAAATGTTATAACAGGTAACTTGAACGAGAGCGATATACAAGTGGACAATTTATTTGTGTTATTCTTTTGAATTGTATCTGTGTCTTTTTTGTCTATGGCAACATATAAATAATGGATGATAAGATTTCAATGTGAATTTATAAAGGTGGTTTAATGCAAATGTGCAGAATAAAATGTATTAACACAAACACTTAAATTAATTATAACTTGTTGATTTATAGTACAGTTAATATGAATGTAACTAATTGTTTGACAGTCTTTTGGTAAGTAGGTCATATAATTAAAACGATGGGAGCAAAATATAATATCTAATAGTAATGGTAACTATTTTAAACTAGCATACTAAATTAACATAGAACAAATTTTGAAGGAACTTCGATGAAATATCATAATTAGAAGGAAAACCTTGAGATCCCATTTCGATAAACCATTATATACACACATATAAAGAAATAAAATTATAAACTATAAGGTATAGTAAAATTAAAAAGTAAAATTTGTCAGTTGAAAAAAAAAATAGTTCAACTTAGACTACAATAATCTGAGCCGGATTAGCAAGAGTAACAAACGCGCATTGAGGTGTCCGCGCAAAACTGTAACTGAATATAATACAATACTACAACATAAAAATAAAAAATATTTTTTTGGGTATTTAAACGTTTTTGGTTGGACGATGTCTAAACCAAGTAAAAAGAGAGCCGTCATTAAGTTTTGTTTCTTTAAAAATCCAAACTTAAGAATCGAATTCAGAAAGAATATCTAAAACTACTTAAAAGTATTTGTTAGAGGCCCGTGCTAGCTTAATCCGGCACTTACAATAATAGATATTTATAAATTATCAATTTCAAGATTTTAAAACTAATTTGTATTTTTTTAAGCAGCGATATCTCGATTTCGCGTGCCTTATCTCCACTTGCGAGATGTATTGGTCACCCCATAATACAATTACAATATTAAACATGTGATTGATATTATATTATATTGTAATAATAAAATTATATTATTAATGACTGAAAAAAAAACATTAAACGTAATAGGATGTTTCATTCCCTTTTGAGTTATTAAATCTATAGGGTGACAGTAACCCACACGAGTACACAGTTGAGGGTTAAAGTGAGATTACACGTTGTCTTAGATTATTAAAAGAAAATAGTGCAATTTGTAGTAATATCGCCCATCTATTAGTTGGGTACAAAAACAAATGTTTATCGAAAATTGCCTTAATATACTACTACAATACTGCACATAACAGAATTAATGAAGAAACTTCACCTACACAACAGACTAATTTAGTTTTAAAGTATTTATACAAAAATAATTTTTAAATGATTAACTGTATTTTTTTTAGTTGTCATTATTACAGGTTGTAAATTATAGGAAAATTATTATATCCTTAGAGACATTTTCTGCAAAACATGTACGGTATATTAAATAAAAAAAATATTTTATTGATTCTGCACGTAGTCAACATTGAAAACTATATAAAACTTTACGACAAAAGAATCGCGTTTATAGAGTAATAGTACAAACTCATATGTTACTCAAACTATCCTGGGCAGTATAAAATAGTTATAACATAAAACATAATTGAGCATTAATTTAATCAACTAAAAACTTGTTTTTTTTTTTTGTACAGTAGCACTAATATGTAAACACTTCATTTGTTATTTGACATTATTTTTGTTGTGTAATCACAAATATTCTAAATTTGTATTTAACCTATTTTCCCGATACAGTACTGTACTTTTAATCACCTTATTAATGTTACTATAACGGGGAACGAGTGTTTACATGTTAGTGGAGGTGACTCCAATTAATATAATAGTAATATCAGAAAAATATATTTAAACAGCACTTTTGGAACTTTGTAGTTGCGATAGTGTTACTATATATATATATATATATATATATATATACCATGCAATTTGTAGTGAGTATAAAATCAAACCTTCCAAATACAATACTCAAAGGCGAAGTAAAGAGTTTCATTAATGCATAACATAAATTCTATTGATCTTCGTTCCTATATATAGGAGGATAGGATCTATATAGGATCTGTAATGTATTTGAATCGGCAACAAGTGAAAGGTAGGAGATCTCTGTGTTCACGTGCTTATTTAATATATTGAAAGCCTCTTCAAAATCCTAGGACTTAACCGTTGGCATGTGCATCACTACATGCCTACTTATGTGATTATACTAATTATCTATCAAAGAGTCAGCAGCATCTGTTTCACTATATACGAGCTGTGACCCTCTGCCAGATTATAACAATGAGCACTATAATGAAAAAATATTTCCTCTAATCTGCGAATAATCACAAAATATTTAATATCTCTAGGTGGGCTAATAATATCTAGTTTAAAGCGGGTATATTATGAGAATAGATATACTCCAATATTACGTCTATAAATAAGTATATAATTGTAACTGGTGTTATATATAATCAGTAATAGATAGCGAAAACAGCATTACAGAATTAGAACAACACCTTAATAACTTGTAAGACGATTGTCATGGAATTTCTTCACTATGAAATAGTTAAGTTACAAGACGCAACTTCAACATAGAGAACATATTTGTTATAGCATTTCAAATCGTATAGATATCGATATGTAGTATGCTATATGTTATATACAAGTGTATTATCAACATACATAAAGATTTAAAATGTAAACATTGTATATGACAAAACAGTAGGTATATGTAGACATAACAAAACAATATACAACGTGTAATGAAAATAATAATGATTGTATACACTGTACATTATTTATACATTATAGGCGGGGAAATATCTGCAATTTTTTCAAACAAATGTAATGGAAAAAATAGATATTAAATAAAATCATTTCCTCAGTGATATGTGTTTCTTTCTATTTGAATAACATTCATTTGAGATTACCCATAAAAATTATATAACATTTTCTTTCATTTCCTTCCATTACACATTGTATATACATATGTAATTAATTAACATAACTTCGAGACCAGAGTAAATTTACTTCATAGTTATTTTCTTAACCTTGTACCAGTTATCAGTTGTCATGGTGATAATAATATCAGAAAAATGATGATTGTAAGATCAATTCGTAATAGAGATGTACATAACTTTCTCTAGATATATATGTAAATTTACTGTGTGATGTGTGTGATATATAGCTAAATTTATATATAATTTCTTCATTTTCAGAGTAAAGAAATTAGTTGTTGAAATAACTAAGTTTCATTTAATTGGTTGATAATTGAACTCTCCATGTTTATATAATTAAAACTATCTATTTTTATATAAATAAAAAACTATCCATGATGTGAAAACTATTGGTTTTCATATATTTTTAATAATATATGAATTTTAGAGTAAACAATAGTTTTACAAATAAATTTTTCCATGTAAATTACCATGTAAACATTATTATTTTGTTTATTATGGGTGTAAATGATTAACAATGAGGATTTCAAAACAATTTACAGTGCGAGGAGAGATGATGTATGTTCGGGATTAATATTATATCTAACTTATGGCCAATAGATTTTAGACCTTAAATTACTTTGAACAAAACTCAATTTGCGATTAATTTACACTTACATCAGTGGGCAACTGGTTTAGTGAACACGATTACTATCTTTCGTCGCACTATATATAGCTTAAATATTATAGCAACCATAATGTACTAAATAGTATACAAGTTGCTATTATATGTCTAATATTATAACATATAAGTGCTTATTTGTGCACTAACGATGTGAGTCTCCGCACACCGGATTTTGTAGTACCTTTGGTCTTTTTTGTCTGCTCCTTAACACCCCTACAATAATAAAAAACACAATGATTACATATTAAATATATATATATAATAAAATATAGTTATCAAACTAAAAATTTTAGAGAGATTTGGTTTTGAGGGAGGTGACTGTTACAGATTCCAACAATGGGGGTACCATTGCTGGAATTGCTACTACGGTCAGGATGACCACAACTCGGCGCCTCTCCAAGAACCCATCTCAGTAATTAACTAGGATGGTTTCCAGTAAATTGGTCAATTATTCACTGATCATCATGTTCATCGTATTGTTCTTCACTAGTGTCCCTTCACTGTGTACCGTTGTATCGTAGATGGGTGCACCTCCCATATTCATACTTTTTTAAAATTTTAAAATCATATGTTTTTTGTTAATAAGATTAAAGAGATAATTCAATGTTGTGTCGCAGATAGTAGTAAATATGATAGATCAGTATGATATTCAATTCCGTCGTCCTGTTTCTATGGTTTGAAAAATACATAAAATCGTAACTTTATTGTCATTGCCTACAAAGGCAAGCAACGTATAATATGCTTTTAAATTACAATCGACAGTAAACATCAAGCCTTGTACGAGTGTATACGATAATGTCGCATAATCAATTATACAAAAAAACTCATTTATTCACTTATTCGAAATGTACGTATCAGTATTATGCAATCGAATATCAGATGATGCTATGGAACTGGAATATATATATATATACTGGTATACTTACAAATATCTGGTGAGATCTTCAATGTCAACAAGCATGGAGTCCTGTCCCATGTGTAACTCGTCACGCGCCATCAATAATTTCACTAGACTGTCATTCAAGGACTCAATTTGCGAATGCAACTCATTTACTATAACCTGAAAATACAAAATAGATATCATTACTCGTAAGGATTGATGAGTGAGATATGACAGGCAAAACATTGTGTACGGACGCAAGACATCGTAGTCCTCTGAAATGGAATAGCATGATAGGTACCACGGGCGTCTTATGATGTGCTGTTCATATATAGGTAACGGTTACCACTTACCATTCAGTGGCCCATCAGCGTGTTTCCCATTTCAAAAATATACAATTTGTGGAAAGAAAAAATAATAATAATAAATAATATTTAAATAAAATAAATAGGATCACCATTTCGGATTCGGATTATTAACAGAAACTTCAACTATTTGAAATAAATTTACAGGTATAAAATCTATTCAGAGTATATAGTAATAAGTATAATTATTAGGTAATATCCATTACTTTTAAAAAATATATAATAATAAACATATGCACCGTGTTAGGTCACATGCATCGAAATGCTTGTTGTATTAAAGAAATATTTCTGTCTACGGAAGCGATATCACGGAATTTACTTTCGATATTTAATAAAAAAAAAATAATATCAATACAAAATAGCTGTAAACGCAATAAAGCATGACTGAGGTATAAAAACTTATTTCACAATAATTGTATTGTTGTACAAAGATCCAAATCCATTGTATTAATCTTTAGTTATGAGTCAGCTTGCAACTACAAGGCCGCGCGTGATGCAGTAAACGGCACCTACGTTTGTAACAAATTTATTGGGCGTATGTTAATTATATACGCACTAAACTGTACTGAGGTGATCATATTAAGAATTACATATGAATATTCTTACTATATGTATATCGCTCCTTTAATACATTTAAAAAATTATATATTTTGAGAAATCAACTCTACAGTAAATTATTAAAAGCGGAAGTTTGTGTATGTGGATGGAGGGATGTTTGTTATAACTTCAATAATTATTTTATTATTATTATTATTACGCAATGTTTATTGTTCAACTACAATTTGTGTGAAATAAACTTAATTGCGACAAGAATAAAAGATATGTAAAATTGGGACAAAAGCTGATAGATAGAGCTATTCAAGTCCTCTTGAATAGCTACAAACCTTCCTAGGTTTGTATGTAAAATATATGTGTATGTAATAATACATTTGTAATACATCCCTGCAAAACCGGGACGCTCGCTAGTATATTATGCAAAATAATAGAAACAATAGTATCACCCAATACTACGTATTTGTTATTTGCCGCGTTAGAATAAACTATTGTTAATATTACAATAGATTATATTGCACATGCATTTTACCTGCAACTGTGCAATATTCATGTCAGTGAGCAATTGTCGCGAAACGCGGCGTCTGTCGGCGGCAAGAGGTGCATTAGCTTTTTCCATGCTCCGGCGCAACATCTCCGTCACAGGCGACACCGGACGGCCGCGGCGTTCGCGCTGTAATATATATAACAATCAGCTTTAATATCTAAACACAATAAGAATTAAATATTTTTTATACATATATCATTACAGCCACATCAAACATATTTGAGAATTTTAAATAGATATAATGATATAGCAGATACATAAATGTATACATATGTACCATAAAACTCAGAATGTATAACAGTTCAAAATACAAATTATAATATTTTTGATATAGCTAAAATTTAATGTTATTAATTTATATGTGTGACAAAAACTATTTTAAAAGATCGGACTACACAGCAGTTCAAGATAAAAACAAGAATGCTGCACTTTACTGGAATAGTCGCTGTTTATATTACAATGAAATATTTTACTCTAATAATACTGACATTCATTTAAAATGCTTTGTGTTCTCTTATAATAATTATTTAATAACAGTAAAACATTTTAAATGAAATTATATATAGATGATTGATTTACCTCCATTTGTATGCGAGCCATTTCTTTTGCTTGAGCTAATGCAATTCTTGCTTCTGTCTGCAATGTTGCTTGTAAAGCATAAAAGTCAGATTCTTTAAGTTCAATATGCCCCATGGAATGAGATGACCGTGTTTTAGGTTTATTTGTCAGTGAGGTTGGCCGTAACTTTGTACCTGCAAATAATTTCAATAAAAATATTTAATTAGAAATTGTAAAACAATTGCATAAAGTTAATGCTTCCACCGCACAGAAATCACCTCTACCATTTATGAAACAAGCATAGTATAACATTCATACATAGACCAATCCCATGGTAAATTTAGGAGGATGAAATACTCATTTCCAGTCTTTGTCAATGTAATCAATTTTACACTTCCAAGGATTATTATTTTGTATAGAACAATTAATGACTCACCACTTTGCACAGTGCTCATTTTGTCATGTTTTGTAATATTGACAGACAATGGCCTTGTCTGATAGGGGTGATTATAGTTTGACTTGCTGAAAATGCTGGATCGGGATAAACTTTTAGTACTTAAATTTTTCTCTCCATCAGAAGCCTGAGATTCATTGTCAGATGCTGTCTCGTTCATGAAACAAATTTGTAGATTCATCCCTGCACAACCACATCACAACACAACAAGGAATTAATTACAAACACAGACAATATACAGTGATAACTAAAACATCCCATAACATGTAAATAGTAATAATGAACATAATAGATGTTAGTGAAAAATTACTAGAGCCAGACCAGGAAAGTGAATCTGTAAGTAGGCATAAGAAAGCTGGTATGTTAATTACTTAAAACATCATAACAAAACACTATTAATAATCTAATAATAAATACCATTGTTGCGCAGATAGATGAGAAATATACCAAGCAGACTTATAATTACTGTTTAATGTTAAAGTTTTAACATAGTTACTCATTATACCATAAATTATAAATTCAAATTTTATTCATATACAATAAGAGTGTGTATGAGGAACATCACAGTTTTAAATATGATAAAATTTAAACATCTTTATATCAATTTAAGTAATGAAATCTAACAAATGAACATAATATAAATATATTTTAATACTTTTATATAAAAATGATTTTTGTATTAAATATGTAAATGTATAAAACAGAATATTAAATATTATTATATTAAAATAATTGTTCATATAATTTTTTTCAAAGGATATTTGTGTTCAATTCTATTATTCCACCAATGACAAATACCTAAACTAACAACACATATTTAGTAATGTGTATGTAACTGAAAAATGCTTTTATTAATGAGTATAACGAAACACACACACACTGTAACTTTATAGATATTTAGTTTAAATTTAATAAATCTAACTTCTATAATATCCAAATTGATTTTGTAAGTATAGGATAGATCTATCTGAGTATGTTTGATGTACCTAATATATTTGATCTAAACATCAAATAAATCTATACTTATAGAAAACTCGTAGATACATTTGAAATTTGTAATATCAGGAAATGTAATTAAATGTGCACCCATTAAGAAAGGATTTCTCAACTCATTTCCACAAGAACAAGAAATAAGGGTTCTATGTAAGCAAAATTCAAACGCTAAATGGTAAGTATTTCAGAATTATTCAATAAAAAATATTTATAGTTATATTTATATTTAGAAAGAATATCATTTACAGGGACTAAATGACATTCTTTCTAAATGTAAACTGATACTGATATAGATATAAAGAACAGGATTACTCTTTATACATCACAAGTGTTAACAATATACCCAATAGTGACTAGGTACAGAAATAATATACAGCTTGACCAAAATAACCTACCATTTTGTAGTCGAGAATGTAGACTTGGTTTTTTACCAGGGCGATCTGTATGGCCTAAGCTGTAATACTCCTCAGCGTCAGCACCCATAGCTAATCTTCTTCTTATCTCTTCTCTATCATTGCGTTTCTAAAGAAGTAAACAATATATTATAATAAAAAGAATAAATATAAATTACTATTAAAATTTTTGATAAACAATAATAAAAAGTAGGTACTTTAGAATCAACAGGTAGATTGTCTGTGACAGTGATTATTCTAGTAAATCTATCTAATATGTTTGGGTTATTGTCTTTGAGTATAGTCCACTCAATTTCTGTCTGGGCGCATTCCCCTATACCAATAGCTCTAGGGCTTAAAGTAACATCATCACTAAAGTTTACTGCTGTCCTTACAGGTTCATTTATTAACAGTTTTGATTTAAACATGTGTAAACTTTTTCTAAACCCCATTTTTCCTAACGAGTCCCTATCACTATCACCGTTATTTTCTACTGAAGTTTTACTAAACTTCCTTTTAATGTTAGTCACTATACTCTCGAACATCATAAAATTATTCAGTCTTCTCTTTTTGGCAAAAATATGGCACAAGTTTTAAAAATAAAAATGTAATAAAAATTAAACGCGTAAATTAAATGTAATAATAAGTCAGCTGTCAAACAAATAAATTCCTCCCTGCCATGCCTGTCAATTTGACATTTAGGGCAAGGTCAAACCTAATGTAGTTCTGTCTGTTCCTTTTTTATTTTTTTTTTCTTTATCCCGTACAGAAAATAAACTGTATGGTACAAAAATTAATATTAAAAATGAAGTAAGTTTGCATCTTACACGACAACAAATATTGTCTACTGATTCATGATTATCGTAGGTAATTGTATACAAATCCAATATAAATCTCGTATCCTTTTTATAGTGTCTTTGTTCTGTATTGAAATATGGCATCGACGCCATCACTTAAATAACACTTTGCACAATATTAAAGTTTACTGTACACCCGTCACTACGCGTTGTAGTTTAAACTGATCCGTAGAGACTGGCTGTCTGGCTGCACCGTTAAATCGTTGTAGAAAGCTGAGCCCACTACTATCAATAATTATTAACTGTTACACATGGTTGCGGTAGATGTGGATCTAATGCAAAATTACCGTTAACTTGCTTACCGCGCGAAAATTCAAAATAATATAAATATTATGTATCTATTAATTACACAACCACTACAAGATTAGCAATAATATGTATATATTATTGCTAATCGATATAGCGAGTATGGCCTAAATGAACATTTTAATTTTCTGATCCTAATAAGGTACTAACTACAGAAATACTTAGACACTGACCCGCCTTTCTGCTTCTTTAGCAGCCTTTATGTGGTGTTCAATCGCATCCAAATCTAATTTTGGTAGAGCTGTTTCAATATTGTATACATCGAAGCTTTCTGAAACATTTATTTCGTAAATATTAAATGTAGGTTGTTTGTAAATATATTAATACTTATAATATAATATTAATTAACCCAACTTGCCCCAAAATATAAATAAGTTAGCTCCATATGAGAAATACGAAATAGTTACAAATACTATCTTTGTTTATAGGTACATATTTAGAAAATTTGCCAGTTATATTTTAAACATAGAATAGCGCAATTTAGTTCAAGAACATAAGGAAACATTGAAATGTAAATATGTTATTAAAAAAGAATAAGTAGGTAGGTTATGCCTAATAAAATGATATATATTATTTAATAGTGAAATGAAATTATGTAATATGATAAATTTTTCGAGATCAGAATTAACCCATTGTGGCGGATTTTCCACAATGTTTTTGTGCGAACCTCGTGGAGATTAACCTGACACGAAACATTGCTTGCAATAGGGCAACGGTTTCCCATTTCTGACAATTCCCTGTACCTGTATTAATGATTGGTTCTTAATAGGCACATCGACAACTAAGTAGTAATAAAAACACTTACCTAAATCACAATCTCTATCACTGCTGTTTTCATTACGGACGGATGGGCTGGTGCTTTGAGAGTTTCGTAAACATTTCTTGCTATATTTTATATCTTTTTGCCGTTCTTTGGCTGGTCTGTGTTCACTGAAGCAAGATTGCATAACTGATGTTAATTATATACTTTGTACCTATTGTATAAAATATCGTCGATTAACTACCACGCCTATTTAACTGAGTAATATACGTAAAAGAAATGAAAGAAGTCTATTGCGGATATAAAGTACAGTATACATTTGCTTTCCTACAAAATTCTACAGTGTTACATTAACTACGTCATCATCTATTTTCAAACACAGGAAGTGATCGACATGTGAGATATCTGACGTGACTTTATAGAGTGTATGTACCTCATTAATTCATATTTGTTTTCGTGTTTACAAAGTTAACAATTGTTAGATATATATAAAATGTAATTGGAATTTGTTTTTTTATTACAAATTTTTTTGTTACAAAAGTAGAATCGTCTACGAGAGTTTATAGAGCTGCGTTAAATTTTATATAATCAACCGTTATAGAGTTTAGCTCTACAATAAATTCTTAGAATTTGATTATTTCTTTTATAACTTTTATTACAAAGTGTGCTATAGTGATTATCCTTAATATCGTTCTACCGATATATGTTTAATAACCTGCTATTGATACAATTTTATTTAAATAGTCCCTTATTCATTTACTATATTTAATGGTTTGCTTACTATAAAATGCACTTACAAGAAATACATAGTTATATTTATTTATGTTAAATAAGTAGTTAAGTAGTTAATATTATGAAATAAAATATAATTAAATTATACTCACATGGTGACCTTAACAGAGTTGTTAATAGCATTAATATCATTAAGTGATTTGTTTTTACTATTATTAGCAGTAAAAGGACAGTCAAAGCATTTCGAAGAACTAGCTATTTCATTTGAATTACTATCTGTAACAATTGAGTCTTTTCTACTAGTAGTCCAGAATTTATCGTGTTCACGCATTTCATCGAGTTTTGGTATTATTTTTCTCAATTCTGTGCTGAGCTGTTTAATAGTATTTTCAACATTAGTGCTTAATTTTTCTGTATCATATTCACTATCGTAAACATTAATTTCATCTTTACCATCTGATAGAAAAGCGTCTGCAATTGTTGTGTTACTACTACTATCTAATAATAAAAAGGTAGGCCTACTAAGATTCATCTCTGTTCTAGTATTTTTTTCATTTTCTTTGTTAATGTTATAAATTTCTATAATTTTTTCATTGCATTCATTATTTTCTGTATACTTATCGTCACATTGGTCATACACATCAGTCTGTGTTTCTACTAATCTCTTTATAACATGGTTAACAACGTCACTAATATTGTTAATCGTAGTTTCAATAGGCTTAGCGAAAGTTTCCTTTATATCTTTCCTTAATTCTTCAAGGTCGTCCTGAATATTGATGTTATAATTCAGTAGTTGTTTTATTTCATCCTCAATTTCTTTATTGAAATCACCTATTATATCCTTAGCATGAAAATTGTTCTCAATATCAGTATCAGAGTAGTTAGAATCGTAGTTATTTAGCTCGATATTATTATTATTATTTTTAGAAATAGTTTTCAAGAGATCAGGAATTTCATTTTTTATATGGCTATCTATTTTTTCGATTTCTTGCTTCTTAGCTTCTTCTTGAGATAGAGAATATTTAGAATCTTTTATGTCACAAATAATATTATTATTATTAATATTTTTGAATTCTGATAATGTGGAATTTTGATCACATTCAGTTTCGTAATTTAATTCTGTGATTTCGAGATCTATGTCATCATCAGTCATGTCATTTTCTGATTGATAAAAATTTTCTATATTTGAAGAATAATCCTGTAAATATATTTTTATGGAAATACATAATTGTAATACAAGTTATTAATAGTGAAGTAGAATAGAACAATATACATTTACATGTAAACAGAAACTTGATGCTATAGAACGCAGTACCTAATTCTCACGAGTATATGTCTTCTTTTATGTCTATTAGGTATTTGAGTCTTACACACACACATAAACAAGGTTTAATTTATAAGCGCAACGTTACCTGCAAGGTATGTGCTAAATGTTGAAACCCAGGGTAATTCGGATTAACTATTCCTCTAGGTAATGTTTGAACGCCGTTTTCAGACATTTCATCTGTATCTGACTGATCAAAAGCTCGTTCGTCGTCAAGAGGTGTGTTAGAATATGCATCTGGATCTCCTTAAAATAAAAAATACTTTAAAGTAAATAATTGAATTCCATTTAAATAAAGTTTTAAACTATTTCAAAGTCAAACATACTTTAAATTTGTATATAAGATAAACTACTGGCAATTAATTAAGTCTTTAGCAGTAATTCAATATGGGGTAGTGTTAATATAAAAATATTTATTTAATAATAAACGTATATTGTTATAAATATATTTTTTAAACTTCATACCGGCGTTAGTAGATATTTAGCTAATGTTCGCAGCAACAACATCATATATTACATTTATATATGTCAGACACATTTGCGAATACAGAAAGTAATCTAAGAATAGCATCAGAAGGAGAAATATTTGTTCAATTTTGGGAGTGGTAGTCCGTATATTAATATAAAGATACGCCACTCCAACACAAAGCAAACAAACATGCTAATGATGGCCTCGGTGGTCTACCTGTTTAGCATACCGACTTACTTCTGATGTCGCGGATCCAATTCCTCCTAGTGTACAAACATTTGTATTCATAAGTATAATTGTTCGTAATGGTCTGTGTAGTTTATATATATACATTGTGTATGTATTGACGAAAAAATATTTCAGTATTTCTATCAGTTATCTAATATTCATAACACAAGCTCTGCTTAGCTTGAAGATTAAATAACCCTGTATGAATTATACTGAATTACTATTAAAAAGATGCTATGGAGTATAGTAGTAGAAACGACGTCTACAAAAATAAAAAAATATACCTAAATTAGGTATCGCACTCATAATTTGTATATTTACAGATATATAAATTAAGAGAGCTTTAGAGGACAGTTAGATAAAAAAAAATGAATATATTATCATATTAATGGAAACAACCGCATACAGTTTTATGGCAGAAATAGCTAAGACAATGTATTACAACTCATATTTTACTATTATTTATATGTCACTCGTGACGTGTATTGCCGCACCAGAAAGATGTTTGATCGAGTTCTATAATAGTATTAATATTTTAATATTATGTTAGTAACTCAATTAAACTATATTTTTAAGAAATAGAAATAAATTTAATATAGGCACTTTTGAATGTTATCATTATTTTTATTCTACCACTCATTTTATTCTTTTTCTTTACATGTTCTTCAAAATACCTGTTTATTTAACGCAAGAGACAGATCGCGGTACGTGTATGGTCAAACAAACAAATAAAATGTTATCCATACACTAATATTATAACTCCAAAAGTGTGTCTCTGGCTGTTTGTTACTTTTTTATGAATAAACAGCTTAAAAGATTTTAAAAGAGTTAAATATGTACACCTACCTATTAATTTTAACGCTTTTAAAAGCTTTGATCTAAAAAAATTTTACCTATTTGCGGGAAAGATTTGGTTGTTTATTTATATGTTATATATTAGCCATCTGCGTTTTTTAGAGAATATATGATATTAACTATATAGAGGAATTTCAAGTTTGATATATGAATAAAAAAAGTTTCTTAATTATGTCTTACTAGGTATAAACATTTACTTCCGTCTATTTAGATTTAATGATTGTAACGATTGATTTGTAATATATAAATATGACCGCACCTAGAAATCTTTCAGTCGATGTTACACTGAATTCCTCCAGATTGGCTGTTTTGTCCTTATTACACAACTTTCCGAAGTTTATGCTATTCTGAGTGTTGATTCTATATTGTCTATTGCAGACTTCCAGTTCTTCATCTATCGTTCTTTCTTGTTGAATACTGCCAGGTGCTAGAGTTAGGCTGTTGTTTTCTAATATATTAGTCCTCTCAAATGAGACGTTGTGGTAACTGTTAGAATTTTCTTGAAAGTTGCGTCTATTATGTAAATTACTATGTGTGATATTCGCGTCTATATTGTCTGATACAAACAAACTTCTGTTATCTAAATTTCTTTGTGAAAAATTCTCATTTCGTAAAACTGTGGCAATATTGCCATTATCAGCATTATGCCCTTGCTTTATCTTCATGATTACCTGAAACAATAACAGTAACAATTCAGTGCTTGCTATTATATTGATAAATAAATAAATAAGAAGAGAGATAGCGATTAGAACATCCCGTGATGATGATAAATATGATATAATAGAAACATTTGTACTAATGGCTATAATCGTTTGTATTACCTTAAGGTTTTTCTATATGTATTATGTATTTACAAAATTTGTTGTGGTTCTGTCAGTTTAGTACCCACAGTACTTTTTAATTTGGGACTAGATGGCGCTGTGTGATAATTATCTAACAGGATAAAAATATCAAATTAATATATACGGATATTCTGTTAGATATCTAGTGGCAAATTATCATTTGTTTACTATCGTAAACAAATCTTAATTCATTGGAACCACAATTTTCCATTAAAGTATTTATGGTAAGGATTGTGCTCTTTATCCTGATTTATTTTTTACGAACATAGTTGAAATAGATGTAGGTACGTGAGACAGTTAACTGATTAATAGATATTATGTTATCTGTGTTAATAGTATTGGTGAAATGTACCTACATAAATAAACGTCTAGAATTTTGATAGGTACTGCGGGGAATAAACAATCCTGTAGTATCTACCTACTTATCTTATACCTACGTACCTATCTACTATATATTCCTAATAAAAAATTACATTTAGGATATACATTCTCTATTATCTTCCCCTGTACTTGATGTTTTAGTCATTAATTATCATATTATAATAAAGTTCCATGCTTAACTGGAATTGTACTGAACAAACTTTAAACACACAAAGTCATAGATATAAAACAAACCTGTCTATCTCTTTGTATAACAAAACGTGTCATCTATGAAACGGACTCACCTACTAAATAAAGGTTCACACAATATTTAAATATTTTATTTGCAATAATGTTTCCTCGACACACGTATTTTAAAGTAGTCCATATTTTCTTTCAATTCAATAGCATTTAATAGTAGGCGCACGAACATAATATCGCACTATAAGGGTTTCTTTAGTATTGAACCCTAATAAAAATAAGTTTTGTATTATGTCATATCTACCAGCAGTATAGCTATCCATTATAGTCTTTACGGCTATGTGGTAAACATTGATTTTATGGCCTAAAAGTTCCTACACGTATACAAAGTACTATTGAGGATTAGTGCCGGATATTGTAACCGGTGCGTTCCCGTCCTTCCTAGTAAATCTGGCCTCACATTATTAGCTTCGGTCGGATGAGTCAGTCAGTCCTGTTACAAGTAACGTTGAATTAGTGTATTTGGGCCTATGCCCCGCCTTCTTTGGAAATACACCAATCGCACCAGGGTGGTATTTGACTATCGTCCGACTGAACCTAATAATGTGAGGCCAGGTTAACTGGGGTACTCAAGCGCGAGAACGACAAGGCACGCGGGTCGACCTCAATACGATTATACGCACCCGCCTGATAAACCCAACCTCGCCCATTTTTACCCAAAGATAACATTCATTCTTTAAGATATAACCTCTATAGAATTTGTACCTACGAGTATATCCTAAAACGCCAATTTCCAATATGAATCTTTAAAAGGGACATGAATACGGAGTATTGAATATTATGTCTTAATATGCTATTTATAGCACTTGCTCGAGCACTCATCAGAAATTGGTGTATTTGTTTTTTGTTTTATTAATTAGAATTTGACTTACTAGTATTATTATGAAAATTACTTCTCAGGAGGACCATTGTGTGTATTACTTATGCCATGTAAAATCTAAGATCCTTAAAAAAGATGGCACCGAGCGTGGCTCCTACGTGTGCTAACATTGATGACCGTGGTGACAACGGCTTCGTCATGGTACAGAAAAAGAGGCACATAAAGAGGACCAACTGGAACCACTGTGGCACTGCACCCACTGGGCCCAACATCCTATTGCGTGCTGCTACACCGACCTCGGCAATGTACCTGTCCCGCTTACACTACGCCACATACGGACCAGGAGTATCCTGACATTGAGGGTGACGCAGCTGGAATCGAGTCATAACGCGAGTTTCAAGGCGTTTGTGGCCCGAGTTTCCACCAACATTCTGCCCAACTTCATGAAGGAGGACTACTGGCCGAAGGGTGTGGTGTATCGGTGCTACCGTGGCAGATTACCATCATCAGTGCCGTACCCACACAGACAATTTATATTTCTTTTCTTATAATTGTATTATTCATATGTATGTTAGTCTGTATATATGGGCTATTAGCTGCCTGAATAAATAAATAAATTAAAAACCATTCAATTATATAATTTTAGGATATTATAATATTTTATTCACATGCATTTTGTAATATAATAAGAGATAGTAATAATTAAAAAAATATTATATACCATTCGGCATCTTTTTCATATACTTAATTAATACAATAATCAACTTTTTTTTTCGTTTCATGGTAAATATATGAGGGAAATGAGTAAATACTCATTTCTCTCTTATTACCTACCTACCCATCTACATGGTATAACTCATTTGACAGTTATTATGCATATAATGTAGCATACATGTCTTTTTTTTATTTTTTTATATTATTTACGGCTCTGGATGTTTCTAAACAGTGTTGTAATATAAAATAAGTATATGAATAAATAGTGTTTAATAAAAAAAAACATCTCTATTTCTAATGATAAATATAGCAATCAGAATGGAATTCATAATATATAAGTCAATACTATATTCGAATATCTGATAAGTTAGAGCATTCAGATGAAGAAGGAAAGTTTTAAATTTTATGTCTCTCGAGAGCGTCTCTTTAGATAAGAGTGGCAAATTTAATTAATTCAGACTCCAACACCAAGTCGTAATGATGTTTAGAATTTTCGCTCTGGCAAGACATAAATACAAACTTCTTCGTCTAACGACCTCTTTCATTTTCACTTGGATTTGAGAAAATTTAATTCATTCGCATTAAATTGACCCGCTATTTCCATCTGATTAGGTGATATATTTCCCTACGGGCATAGGCGTACACTGTTATATCCAACAATATCTATGCACATAGTAAGTAGGTACTACAATATAGATTGAATGATCGGATCGCCAATGTTCCCCTCATAATTATACTGTGCAAGTATATGTCATAATAACTAGTAACTTTGTTGGCGTGACTGCCATGGGGTATATTGATTGACCGACTGAAATAAAAAAGCTAGTATATGGACTTATACTATTTCAATCCTTGGCAAACATTACAATGATCTGAGCTGATAAGATGCTAAAACATAACAAACAAATAAATCACTTTCACATTTGTAATATTGAGATCTAAATAAACAAGCCAGTAGAGATGTCTACTTGTTTAGTTTATTTTCGAGGTCGGTTACTTCCCTCGGGTAGTGAGCCTCGGATTAGATTATCGATAATGGCAATTTAAAAAAAAGGACTTCAGTGAATCGTGTCTATTTATACTATTATGGGTCCCAAGTATTCTGGTGTTGGCTATCTCAATCCATGATAGTTTAGTTTGAGAATACAATTTGATAAGTAGGTTTGCTTTGCAATTGCCTAATCCAAGGCATTTAATTATAGAAAGTAGTCAATTATTTTTAATTTTTATAAGCGCTATTGCGTGTTGTATTGGAATAGAATAGTTATTATTGAACAAATTACAGTCGGGTGTTTTTTTTATTAAGTCTATGGCCACGACTTGTAGGTATATTGGATTTTGGATACTAATGATACAAGAATAACCTTCATTAACAGATTAATATAACTTATTAATTTGTTTTAAATTCTTGAGACGCATAATGGTACATGTGTATATCAAGCATATATTGTAGATATGACTTACATACCTAAAATATAAAGGAAACATGTAAGTTTTCCTTTATTTATTAATATTGTCATTACCTACCAACTAGTATTATATTTATTGAAATTTTTTATTTATTTTATAATCTAAATATGAAAAATACTTGTTATGAGAATTTGAACTATCTGATCAATTTGCGTAGTTTTGTATTGAATAGAAGACTAAACCTACTAAATTCTTAACAGTGTCAGTTAATACTCTCATTGATCGCGAAATATGGAATTAATATGTTGTTATAATTCAAGAATTTAAAAAGGTACGAAATGACGAATCCAATGACATCGGATAGGAATTACTTTCCAGAATAGACGTTAACGTTCTTAAGTCCGTGTCGATAGTACTCGTAGTACCAACTCGTTAGCTGCAGTAATTCTATCAACATAGTAGTAATGGACCGGTCGAGAGTGTGGCAGCTTGCCAACAGATTGATTTTTTTGCGTCGACCCGGAAACTAATCTTATTAACATGGTAAAACTTCCTTATCCCTAACCTCACGCAATTTTCTGTCTTTCAAGTTAGTTCAAATAAAAGGGAAAAACTGAGTTGGTCCCGTGCCGAAATAAGGACAAACAGCCTATTTTGTGTACTTTAGTCTCGTTTCGGCACCTAAATAAAGTAATTTGGTCTTATAATTGTTAATTGCTGAGCTCTAACGATCTTTGTTTAGTATAATCCACGCGCAACTGACGCGGCTTGTACCCTTAGCCATCGCAGTCACGAACGCCCACTTGAATTGTAACATTATTAGTGGCAATATACTTTTACATATATTAGTTAAATTAAAACCGACATACAATATTATTTAAAATACTATTTTTTATATAGAAAAAGACTAAATTCAGAAGAAATTTCAGAGCGATATCTAATATGAATGCCATGCAATGCCATGAATCTTACATACGACACGTTGAAAATACAGTTGACAGGGTTTTCATTCTTGTTCAGATTGTACCTACCATTTGATTAACGTCACGAGTTTTGTGAATATAATTCATATACATTAACTTAAAGTAAGGAACTAATTCCAATGTAGACGTTACTCTGTGACCTTGATACTTTAGCAGTCAGTAGAACCTTCCTTCAATCGATATTTTTATATGTATATTTTATGTTCGTGCATACTGCTTCTAGCACAATATCGATAGAACAAGATTATAAATAAAAATCAAAATCTTATTATTTATAAATT